AAAAAAATTGGAAAATTGGGATAGGCCTTTTTAGTTCGAAGGTCGCGTATAGATCCGTCACAAATTTTTAAGCAAACAAATGAGGGGGTTAATTCTTATCCGATTAATGTTTTTTTATTTTCTCGTAAATTAACTTCGTTACAATTTTGAATTTTAATTTTTTTGGCACATTTTTGTTCTTAAGTGCTCTTTCTACTGAATCAATCAAGTAATAAAAAAATATATATATATAATATAATTCCTACTTGGTCAACAAAGAAAATTTTTATTTTAGTTACTTTTTGTTAAATAGTTACACTCAATATAAATATGTTTATACATAGGACAGATTCACAATATTAAGAGGACACAGTACGACTCAATCGACAAAAATCGGTCCAAAAATCAAATATAATTTTTTTTTTTTAGTCTAAATTATTTTTTCTATACTTTTCTACAAACTCACAAACGCAAAAAATGCAGAGTTATGATAACTTTTACTTGTTTTTATTTACATTCCAATGGAAAATCAAATTTTTTAAAAACTAAATTTACTCAGAAAGAAAAAATAACCAGTTTGTCTTCTTTAAATGCAAGGGTTTTTTTATTGTGTAATATTAAATTTTTTTTTCATTGTTGCTAATGCTTTGAAAAAAAATTTTGATGCATTTTTCAATCAAATCAAACTTATAAAAAAAAGGTTAAAATTTTAAATATTTTTTAAGGAATTTTTCAAAAGCATTCAAAAAAAGAAGTATTGAGAATAAATCTTGTTATCGAAACCCCATACCATTTTTGTTTACATAATTTGACAATTTTTGTATGAAATTTCATACGTAGTAAATTTTTGTAGGGGGAGTAATTTTTAAAATCCCTTCATAAATTTTAAGTTTTTTCCTTAAAAACTTAAATAGTTAGCATTTTATGAAATTTTGAGCACAGAACCTATTTTACATCACATATATAAATAAGACGCAACCAAAAAAAAAAATTAAAAAAATTTAAATTAAAAAAAATTTTATAAATGAAAAAGAAAAAAGGGCAAAATAGAAAGTGATTTTCCTTGTTCAATTTTCCTTTTTCTATATATGTTGTTGGATTATTATTTCCGTTTGTTACTATTTATTCGTTCATTAAATTTAATTATTTCAATAAAATAGCTTGGAAAAAGAAATCACATTCTCAGAAATCAAGCCATCTCAGGTAGGATTTGAAACCACAACCTTTGGATTATAAGTTCAACGCGCTACAAGGAAACAAAGAGCGACTTTCCTTTTTATATATGATGTACTAATATTTTTCTTTGTTACCATTTATTCATTAATTAAAAATAATTCATAAATTAATATTTAAAAAACTGTATTACCATCAAATGTCATCCACTACAAGTTTAAAAAAATGTATTTGAACTTGAGTGGATGAATAGAAAATATTTTATTACCAATTGAATATTTGAACAAGATATATATATATATAATGAAATAAAATAAGATACCAAGAAAAAAAGTCATAACCTACAATGCAAAAAAAAAAAAAAATTTGGGAGAAAGAGGATAACAAATGAGATAAAAAAAGAGTTTTTAAACAAAAGGGAGCCCCATTATGATTTCTAGAGCTGTCCAATTTGGGCCAAAGATTTGGTTAGCAATGCTTTTATGGATCCACCTTCCCGTAAGCAGAAATTTTTTGACAAATAAAAAAAAAAACAAAGCCATGTTAAAAAAGTTAAGCCTTTACTAACAACGGGGATGAACGAGAACAAAATGATTTTTTTAAGGGGAATATAGAGGAATTTAAAAAAATTCTAAAAAAAAAAATTAGTTTTAAAGCTTACTTTAAAAATGAAACAAAAAATTTAAAAGCACCTTATGAAAAAGCCCCGCGCAAACTGATGGAAAAGGGAAATTTTAAAAAAGAAACAAAAAGAAGTGGCGCCATCTAGATAGTTTTTTCAAAAACTAAGCACAAAAAGTTTAAAACCCCAATTAATTAAAATTAAACTAATCCTAAGATATTTTTTAAAAAATGAATAATCTATATTAAAAATAGAAGGATTATAACATAGAAATATAATATATTTAAAGATAAATTTACTTTGAAAGTTGTATTCTAGACAATTATTGCAAAATTTCATATAATTACTTTATTTCAATACAATATTACTAACTAAATCATTGTTTCTTTTTATAAAATTTAAGATAATATTTCTAAAATTGATAGAGGTTACTACACCAGAAAGGCATTTTTATAATATTAAAACCCAAAAAGTCTCTTTTTTTCAAAAAAAAAAAATAAAAGCAAATTATTCTTAACGTTTAATTGGGTCCAAAAAATTATTGATATTATTGTAATTATTTTAATAATTTCAAATAGTGGGGTTAAAAAATGTAGGGGAAAAAAATCTACTATATTACAAAAAAAAATTGGGCATCTATTTAAAACTAAAATAGTAAAAAATTCGTAACTAATACTATATTTTCATAAAAGAAATAAATTCCCAAAAGTTACTAACATATATATATATATACATAGGGAGAATGTGAACCAATAGTATAGGAATTGAAAAAAAAATGCTTTTACTAACGATCAAAATTTTTCATTTGCATCTGAGCCGACACTTGTATTAGGCACATCTGACACATTTACTGATAATATTTTTTTTTTATCCAGTTCATAATAAACGTGTTCGTTTGTTATTAAGACAATTAATAAATAGTTGTTAGTTAGTACTTTATTATTAATTTCACTTTTTATATGTTATTTCAATATTTAATTATAGACTAATTTTCGCTGTATACTAAGTATAATTTTTTTGAAAAAGAAAAAGAATTTGAGTTTTATAAATATGTAACATAGGTTTTATTAATACTTTTTTGCCCGTTTTTTTTTTTAAAAAAATATTTAGAGATTTTTCATCGTAAGTTTTTCAAAGTTGTGAAACATATCCCTAAATTTAACATAATTCACATGTACTTTTTTGCACAATTTCCATAAGGAAAGTGTCTACCGTTTAAAAAAGGTGGTCGGATATTTAATATAATTAGATGTTTATTGATTTCTTAAGAGAAAAGAAGAATTGTTATTAAGTCTGCATAAGTTTCAGAAGCAATCTTAGGATTATTGAGTAACCTTTAAATCACTCAGACATGTGTTGGTAGTCGGGGGTTTTTTTTAAATTTTGGGGGTTTGGATGCTTGGGTAAAACGGGGTCGCGGTATCGAAAATTTGAATTTTTGCCCTAAACAAAACCGTCCTTGACCTGTCTGATCATTACCACCCCTAAAAGTCCTTTTACATTTCTTGTTCATTTGTGTGTGTGAACTAGATTTTCTGTAACATACAACTTGTAATATTCAAAGTATATACAGTTGATATTAAATGCTGTTATTTCAATTTGTCTGTACATTGGATTCTCATGTTTTTATAATACTTTTTTTAAGAACTAAAAGGGTTAAGGTGAGTATATTTAAAAACCCCCCTTTTTTTAATTTTTTTATTTCCAAAAGCAAACAACCCCAAAGGGAAATTTGAAGGTGGTTTGGTTTATTGATGAGGAATTATAATTGTATAGTATATAGATATGGGAACAATAAAATGTGAAAGTTTCTTAATTTAATACATCTCAAGAGACCAATTCAATTATAAATTTAAATATCTCAATACATTTTATACAAAATATTACGTTTTTACAGTGGTAATTGGAGGATATTTAGGCCCCCTTCAGTTTAGCATCGTAGAATTTTAGAGCTCCTTGCAAAGTCAGGTTTTGCGCCCGGGACCTACAAAATGTTCACTTTTACATCAGTCGGGGGGGGGCCCCCAAATCCCCCGGCCCCTAAAGGGGGGTATTGACGCCACTTCCCTCAGTAAAGTCAGGTTTTGCCTTCAATATTTTGTACATTGGTTAAACAAGTACATGAAATCATTCAGGCTTTGGGTCCTATAGAATTCTGGCCCTCTCCACCGCGATGCGAGAGTTGAGGATATATTTTAAAATTTACTGTGAAAATTGAAAATAAAATATTCTTTGAAAATTTTGGTTAATGTACATGGCAGTTAATAAAAAAAATCTTCCATTTTAAATTTGGATAATTAGTATTTACGTATGAAAAAGAGTTCTCAATTGCAAGAGTTCCTATTTGTTTTAACAAAATTATTCTGTTCTGTCCATTAGTTCACACTCTCCTTATATATTTATTTATTTATATATATACATCTTGTTCAAATTTTCAATCGTTAATAAAATACTTTTTATTCGTCCACTCAAATTTAAATACATTTTTTTAAACGTGTAGTGGATGGCACTTGATGTTAATACAGTTTTTTCAAACATTAATTCAATAGTTAAATTAAATTAATGAATAAATAGTAACAAACAAAAATAATAGTCCAACACCATAAATAAAAGGAAAATCGCTCGTTGTGTCCCTGTAGCGCATTGGACAGCACTTTGGATTTCTCATCCAAAGGTCGCGGGTTCAATTGTCGTCTGGGATGGCCTAATTTCTGAGAATATGATTTCTTTTTACTTTACTATATTATTGGAATAATTAAATTTAATTAATGAATAAATAGTAATATAATTTAATTATAAAGAATAATAGTCATACACCATATATAAAGAGGAAAATGGAAAATTGCAATGAAAACTCTCTTTCTATTTTGCCACTTAATATTGTGATTCTGTTATATGTATATATATGTAATAACGCCAATAATTTAATTGTAATAGCTCTTGCATCATTTAATGTCCAGTCCTTCAGGACAATCATGTAATTATTTTAATTGATTACCCACTACCGGGAACTTATGAAACTATCTCCATCCACCTCCTAAAAACACGTGACGTCCCGTTGCTCATAAATACCGAGATCTGGAAATCACGCACTCTCTCTTCTGCTCTCGCCTCTCTGCAATCATGTAGTCAGCCGGCTGCCACGCTTTGTGGGTTTTTGTGATTGTCCTTGACTGTGATGTACCGTCCAATATTTATATTTGTAATATGCTATATGTTTCAAAATTGCAATAAATTGGAGTTAATCCTTTCAAGATTCCTGCTTCTTCGATAATACATATATTCACACACCACCGGCAACGCCCTACCTTTGGTTCGCCATGTTAAAATTAATCACTCGCCACGACAAATTATGTCACACATTAAGTTTTTTTATCATTGCATATATATTTATATTAATTGTAATTATTGAATAAAAACTAACTAAAATAAAAAAAATTTTGTTGACCTAAGTATGGAATTGACTTAAAATTTTGTTTTTTTATATTATTGTTATTTCACTACTCTTAAGCTTGTGACATGGCCGGGATTCTCGGAATGATGAGACATTTTATAATTCTTAATATGACTTTTATTAAGAATTTAACTTAGATTACTTAGATATCGAACAAACTTATATTAAGTGAGAATAAACCAAAACACGCAGTCTTAACTAACTCAGATCGCGCAATTAGATCACTTATCAATATATATAATATATATTATATCCGCCTAATTTCAATCTCAATAATATACTAGCGTGTAGAATATAATCTTCCTACCTTGGTTGAATACACAACGTCCAAGCTATTTCAAATCTTTCTCCTAATTGGCGAGGGGGGCGTCTTGATTCTAAGTAAGCCGTCGATCAACACTTCTATCTTCTCTACACTGAACTTTCTCTAAATTGCCATTATTGCTCAATAAAATTTCTATCCTTTTAAAGGTTATCTTATTTGCATCTATGCTTCATTTCACTTCTTGGATTTGGGTTGGAAAAGTTTTGCCATTAATCGTGGCAATCAAAGAACATAGAGGTTATGTTAGAGGAAGAACGCGAGAGATGTCACAAGCTGACAAGATTTTCAGATAAGTATTCTACAAAGAAAAGTAAAGCAAAATGTATTTTGTCTTATCGTTTTCATAAAAACAGATGTATCAAAACAAGACGAAATAGCTGGGTCAATCACGGATATCTATTTAAGACCCAACCCGCACGATCATGCGGGTTAAATATTCTTATACGTTGTTGCTTCTGAAATAGTAATGTAAGAAATAATGCAGGTATGTAAGAAAATCGTGAATCAAACGATTGAGTCGGCTTTGCAGAAAGTGTAAAGTGTTACTTTTTATCAACAGACGATGGTTGTGGTCCATGTTTTACTATCAGCTGGCAAACCTAGCTTTGTTTTCAAATACCACGAAAACACGTCTTCTTCTTAGCTGTCGTAAAAAGGTAATTACCAATATATTTCTAATTGCTAAGATACAAATTTTTGTATTGATGTTTAAATAATTGTAAAATAGAATAAATATTAATTATTCTCTATTAATGTGGCTTGTAGAACTCGCAGGATTTTGTTACACGTACGATCGTGCGGGTTGGGCGTTACTTGAGTCACTGTAGCTGTAAAGATAAGTACTTACCATGCGAATTTTCTTTTCTGTTTCAATAATTTTGAGAAAAGACTACATAAAAAGGAAATATATATAGTTAATACCAAATCTTCTTGTGGGTCGCCATGGATGAGTCCCTTTTTTTCTTTCTCTTTTTGCAATTAATTTTCTTTTTCATACATTTGTTGATGAATATGGTATTTTTACCCTCTCCACAGACATCTGCATCCATATCTCTCCCTCCCCCCCAAAAAAATGGGTTTTCCGGTGGTAGTTAGTATGGTGTGGTTTAAATATGTATATATATTTAAATAATAAAATTTTCTATTACATTTTACTATTTTTCATGGAATACTGTGTTAACTTTTAACCAAATACTTTTTAAAGTGTTTAAAAGGAGAAGAATTCTCACAGAAGAAATTTTTCAATTGTTAGAAAACAAAAAGTAATTGTAAAGAAATAAAATGTAAATATCAATTTAATTCTTAAAATAATCTTCCTCTTTTTAGGAAGCATGGTAATGAAATATTTTTCAAAATGCGCAACTAATAAAATAATTTGCACCATCAAAAATAATAATAATAATAATAATTTTAAGTTTACAGTCGGATCAGTAAAGTCACGAAGTAACTAATTCCCGGAAAAAAGTTCGTTATATAGAGGTTCTTTTAATATACTTTATAAACCACATTAAAAAAATTTTTAATTCATAAACACTATATATTAAAAAAAAGGAACTGTTCACACTTTTTTTAAAATTAAAATATGTTTATTTTATATATCTTACCCATCAAAAAATAAAGAAAAAAAAAACTGCAAGAAAAACAAGAAGAAAAAAAAGTCTAGAAATTCGCTGTATTTTCAATATTAAGGAAATAATTTTATATTAAAATTAATGAATTTTAAGGAAATTTTCCCCCAATTTAAAGCATACAAGTAATACATTATTTTATAACTAGAACACGGGGACATGTGACAACTCCCCTGAGTGTGAAAGGGGATCTCGAAGATGTTTCTAGCGAACTGGATAATGGGGGCTTAAGGTTGCCCTTCTTGGGTGACACGTCGAGAACTCTATTGCTCTTGGGGAGTTAGGATTTAATAAAACCATTTCAAAATTTATGACTCCCATAAAATGTACTAAAGAGAGAATAACTTGAAATGTTCAGAGAAATGCTTTAAAACTAGGGCGAGAAAAAATTAAATCACAAAAGAAACAGTTCGTTATACATAGAAAATGCACTTCACTATAGAGAGGTTATTTTACGAAGAAAATCGTGTGAAATGTGCGAGATTCCAGGACAAAGTTCGCTGTATAGAAAAATTCGCAACATAGAGGTTCGACTGTATTTCTTTATTCGCTTAGTAATGATAACCTCTCCTCGGACCCCTGCTGTTCAATCTTTACATTAATGACATTCCCAGCTATTCACTAACTAATATTAATCTTTATCGGATGAAGGCCTTAAGTGCCACGTACAAAACCAAAATCTGTCACTTTTTGCCTCAACAAACACCTCAAACTTCTAGAAAATTTACTGATGGAAAATAAGTATTAATGTAGATAAATCGTGTGCAGTTATCTTTTCCAAAAACGTACTTCTCCACCTCCGCTCATAATGTACAATAAGCAGTTTCCCTTTGGTCTCAGAAAACCAAATATCTTGGCGTTATTTTTGATTCTCATTTAATTTGGGAAACAAATATTCACACGCCCGCGATAAGTTCCGAAAATCATGTTTAAACTTTTCCCCTTTAAAATCCTGAACTCACATTTAAGAGAGATAAAAAATGCTTTCTATACAGCCGTCATGGCCCATAATTGCTTACGCTTGTCCCATCTGGGGTTAGGCTAAGACTAATATAAATATTTTAAATACTGTGAAAATTCTTATATTCGAATGGTCGTGCTTTTGGTATATGCGAAATGATTACATTAAAAAAGCTCTAAAAATCAAAAATTTTAAAGCTCACATTCAAAAAGTTGCCATAAATTTTTTAATAACTTTCAGTTTCAAACAATGCAAATATGATTAATTTTTGATGTTTATAACTGCAATGACAATACAAAAAGGGCCCAAAAAGAACCCTTTTCTGATTCCTACAACCCGCCTTTTTGGTTTTTTTCCCCGCAATAATTATGTAATTATTGCACCCAAGTAAACTTTTAAATTTTTAATTTTTTTTTTTTTAATTTTTCATCTTTTTCCCCATGGGCAAGCGTATTCCATTTCTACTTTTTTAAAATTTTACTTATCCCCATGGGCACCAGCCAGAGGCTATACTCACTCCCCCCTTTAACCAATGGGGAACCCACATAGCTCTCAAGCCATGGGGGGAACATTCCACGTCTTGAAGAAAACCCCAACCCCCTTCCCCGGATTCCATCGTGCAGCCAAAGCCTGCATGCTCACGCAGACTGTGAAATTTCCCAAAGAAAGTCAAGCCCCACTTCAAAGACTTTAAAGATATGGGATTGAGGACTGTGTATCAGTCCAGATCCCCAAAAAAATAGACTGCCTCCACCCAACCCACTAAAAAATGATAACTGTTCCTTGGAAATATCGATACGAGATGAACTTCCCTGACAGCTGTTTAAGAAAGGAGATTCACAGTTTTATTGTTTTATGACGGCAGAAAACCACGTGGAGATCGAAAATGACCAGACTTCCACGTAGTGAGAGAGAGTTTTCTAACGTCGCGCTAATAAGCAACACTAGAAATCGTGTCGCAGACTTTTTGTGCAAGAAAACTACTCCCGCCACTTAATAGCAACGGCCTAAATTCCTGCAGGTAACATGACAAATGTAGTCATGTTTTCCCCATTGAGTTCAAAACTGGCACTAGACTTGTATTTGTTGTTTGTTCTACTTGTAAAATTTAGATACAATTTCAGATTTGATTTTAAACCCCTTGGTTTTCCCCCTTTAAAAGGGTTCCCCGGGGGTGTTAACTTTCTGGGGGCTAAAATAAAATAATAACTTTTTTAAAATTTTAAAATTAAACAATTGGGAATTTCTTTTGCACATTTTTCATAAAGGAATGGGTCTTCAGAAAAGTATAAAATGTTTAAAATATAATCAAAAGTTTAAGAATTATAAACATA